TAAGCCAGGCCCAAAGAAACATAGGTCCCATGGTTTCCCTTATTTGCAATATCTAGTATATGTATGAGTCAAGCGGAAAAGGTCAGATAATGTGATGTTAAGAAAATGAACCCTTAGATATGTATTTTAATGTTTTTTTCGTTCATGCATGTGTTTCTAACGCATTTATAAGATTACTTCTTTGTTGCTTTGTATGTCCCTCCCCCACAGTATAACCCCTGCTTTCACTATATTTGATGTCAGTATAACTTGTGGAGGAGATGGGGAAAAACAAGTCGTCTAAGGATACAGGTGGACCTGTTGCAACAATGAGAAGTACAAGTTGTCATGTCCAAAACGAGCTTTACAACGTCTGTACAGTATGTTCACAAATAAAATTAAATTAAATTTTAAAAAAGTGCACATTTTTAAAATAAGAAGGCCTCATCCATTTTCTCTTTAGAATATATAGACACTATAACATCTTAAATATTTGATGTGGAAGTACTAATGGGCTGACCAGAACAAGCCCAAACAGCTCTTCAGCTCTGTAAATATGTATAATATAATTATAATTTATATATAAATATATATAAATTATAAATAAATTTATAATGTATAATATATATAGTTTATACATAAAGAAATGGACTGTAGTCTGCGATAATCTATATTTTCACATCTAAGTAGTATATGAAGAGTAATAACTAGGTTGTCAGTGAAGTGTTTCTGCTGATACTGTACTGTCATGCACTAAAGTGCTTTAATATTACTTTTTCTCATATTTTAACACAGTTGTACAGTGGCTTCCAGAGATTCAGGACAAAGGTTTAACAAGAACAAAGGAAACATACTATCCCTGAGATTTATAAAACACATGATCTCAATCAGCCATCACAAATACTCTCTGAGTTTGGCTTTGTCACTCCGAATGCAGTAGAACCAGCCTTGGGTATACATGACACTGTGTGTTACCCAACTGCATGTGTGCAACAATACAGAGAACATCATGATTGTCTCTAATGAGTCAGCACAGGAACTTATGGGGAAGTAGAGATGTAAATTCAGTCTGACCCCCAAGATTCAAGATGCTGCAGCAACCTTTCGTAGTACCTCTTACTCAACCAAGCCCAACATGCCATCATTCCCAGCCTTTTGATAAACAAACTGAAGCCCACAGATCAAGTCACCTTGTTGGTTCAGGGTTAGTTGATGGCAGAGGTGAGACTAGAACCCAGGTCTTCTAACTTCCAGCTTTGTACTCTTTCCACTATTTTAATGCCTAATGTGTATTTCAGATGACAGCTGATGGTAATCACAACGGTAGCAATCACCAATTAGATGCTTCCTCAGGGCCAAAGACTGGACTAATTGTTTTTGTTGTTGAGTTGTATGCCAGTCATTGGATTTTTCTACCCAGAGCTTCATGTTTTCTACGTAGGCACACTACCACTTGAGTATTAACTTCAGCCCTTTTGATGGGGTTATTTTTGAGATAAGGTCTTCTTTTCACCCAACCCAACCCAGAATCATGATCCTCCTGCACAGTTAGGATAGCAGGCATACCTGATAATACCAAGCTATTGTTTGAGATGGGGGGGGGGGTCTTAGAAGCTTTTTTCTCAGATGGCCTCAAACTACAATCTTTTCGATTTCAGTTTTCTGAGTGGACAGGATTATAGGCATGAGACACTGATACCTAATTAGAGGAGAGTGTTTAATGTGAATAATTTCAATTAATCCTCAGAATTACAAACCTACAAGGTAGATGAGAAAACAAAGTTTCCAACAAATGACTTTTCTCTGCTCACCAGGGTTCATGAAACTTCCTTGATCAGCCAATGTATCTATTTATTGCCCCAATTTCTTCCCTTACACGTCAGTGGCTTTACATAAATACATGTCAGCAGAAGGTGCCACATGATTAATCTGCTGTTTCATGCATTTTCTCTGCTAATTCTCAGGTTTTTCAGCGGAGTGAAGAATATTAGTGTCTACAGCAGCTTTTGCGAAACAAAAGAGAGGAAAACTTCTCATTATCTAAGCACAACTACAATAAACTGCCTCTTCAAATAATAAAATTACAACCCGCACATTTGGGTACATCAAGCCCACCAGATACTAATCAGTGACGCTATTCAGATCATGGTGCCTGCAAGTCAGACCAGGAGGCTTAGACAAGCAAGAATTTGCGTCTTCATTGCTCTTTGCATTTGTATTTTCAGTGCCCTTCCCTCACCCGATTTCATTGGCTAAAAATACAATTCTTGAGAATCAGTCTTTGCCAAGAAAACTTTGACAGATTTCTCAAAGTTGGTTTTACATCTATCATGCCATCTCTGATCACTTTATATAGCTACTATAACATATTTCTCAAAGTTATCTCTACAGACAGAAAGAAACTTATGTTGCTATTTTGGCTTTTCCAGGTTGCAGTTTAATTATTGGTAAGATTAGAGGTAATGGGAGGTCTTTTTTACTTGCAAAATACTGATTACATAAAAAAAAAGTGCATTCACTCTCAGGAATTTTTTTTAAATTAACAAACACTATCTTGCAAGTCTAGTTCATTTATTAGTAGCAGAAATAAAATAAAAATGTTCCGCTCCAAGGAAATGTATGATCTTGTTGCCAGTGAGGATCCAGGGCAGAGAATATTCAATAGATTTTAGCTATGTACCATATAAACTAATATAAAAATCCCCTTAGCTACTGCAGTGGCAACAGTAATTCTAAATAGTAATCAATATAAATTTTTATAGCTTCTGCCAGCTGTTAGATTGAAGCCAGAAGTATGATGGCCAATGTTGCTTAACTGATACTGGCAACTGCTTAGCTTCTGCTGTAACTTGCTTTTAAGATACTGATGCATATATTTTAAGGATGATCAGTGAGATCTTTATTTAGGAAACTAACCAGGAAGATATTCATTGTAAAAACTTTCTTCCAAATTTTTGATATGAAAATGGAAATCTATTTTAGCCTACTCTGTTGGTCTACTATCTACCCAAATACATATAATCTAAGGTCTCCCCTAGAACCTTTCATTGGCAGTAAAGCAATACAATTTTCTATCTTACCTGGGAAGAGCCGTGATTTTTCCCCATTTCTCTACACAGAATCTTCTTGGGCCATTACTTCCACGGAGAGAAGCAAATCCTTCATAGGGAATGCTGGATGTGCCTGTAACAAACTGTCAAGAAATAGAAGGAAATTAATATATTGGCTTTAAACCCCTTTGTACAACTATATAAAGATGATAGATAGACGATAGATAGATAGATAGATAGATAGATAGATAGATAGATAGATAGATAGATAGATAGATAGATAGATAGATAGACAGACAGACAGATAGATAGAACAGACTGCAGATAGATAGACTGCAGCCAGAAAAGGCACCTCATTATGACTGTGCAGAGGGGGGCATGTGGAAGTTTGGCGAATGAAGGCATGGAACAATCATGACATGAGATTGTGACTGAGATCATAAGAAAGGACAGTGCAGTACAAAGTGGAAGAGGCTGTTGTGGGGGTTTTAGAATATAAATTACAGGTGCAGTTGACTATCACAAATGCTGAAAAATGAATAGGCAGATATATCAGTTAACTTAAGTCTACTTAGCATCCGTTCCTTATTAACTTGAAGGGAATTAAAAAGAGAGTTTGAGTCTGTAAATTTAGGGTTCAGATCTTTAAAGAAGCCAATATGCAGTCAACTTGTAAGCTCTGCTTGTCACGTCCTCAATTCTAATCAGCTGCGTAATTTCCCAGGATAAATGAATAACAAAGAAAGAAAGAGAGAGAGAAAAGAGAGAGAAAGAAAGAAGAGAAAGGAAGAATGGAAGGTAGAAAAAACAAAAGGAGAAAAAGAAAGAAGAAAAAAGGAAAAAATGCAAAAAGTTCTGCATGTCACTGTTATCTGAATTTGTAGAAAGTTAGATGAAGGAAAAGAAAAGACTTTAAAAAAATCAAGAACTGCATGAAATTCACTAAAAGTGGCTTTAAGGTTGAGGGGGAGTTAAGAATAGTCAATAAGGCTAAAAATTAACTTGGTCCTCTTTCAGGGATGGAACATCATCTCTCTGTTGCTAGAGATGCTGGTTCAGCGTACCAGGGCCTTTCGCTGAAGGACACCCTTGTGTCCTGAAGGTAAATGCTGTCTCTGGGATTCTTGGATTGGCACCTGGTACCTCCTTAAACTTTTCATTAAATGCATTGGCTTGGCCTGGATGTTCTCCAGGAATCTAGCTGCATAGGATACAGTCAGAGTAGTATCAAAATGGGACAACCCAAATACATACATAAAAATGTATGTATATAGAAATGTGTGTATTACAGAGAATTCATAGTAATTGTTGAAAATACTTAGTGACTGTCAAAAATATGCACTTCTAACAATATTTATATTTTTTTAAAGAATATTTTTATTGGAAAGATACTGTACATGAGTAAGGTAATGAGTACATGTCCTATCAAGCAATGTAACCCCCTCCTTAGTTGTTCCCTTGTCTCCCTTCCCTCCCCACCTCCCCAACTCCTCCCTCCCTACTCAAGTTGTAAAATTCATTTTCAACATAGTGTCTTGTATGTTTCATTGTTACAATGGGTCAACCTATGTATATATGACCATATAAGATTATGTTAAGTGAAATGAACCCCAAGATATGGACACAAGAGGATTTTTCTTTGTTGCTATTGTTTTTAAAGGACCACGTGATTTTTGTTTGTTTGTTTTGTATGTTCTTCCCCTTATGGTGTAATCTCTGTTTTTACTGTATTTGATTCTGGTGTCCTGTATCTTGTATATACACTTTTCTAATTTGGGGAGGAGAAGGGAAATATTTATACTATTGTGTTAAGGACACTAAGTAATGGCATCTTACCTGTAACAACCTTAGCCGTTGCTCATTGTTGAATCTTTCCACTGCTGCCCAGAACCACCGAATTACAATATGATTGTCATGGTAGCCTATAAACCAAAGAGAAAAGTCAATGTAACTTTGATTCTTCTACCTCAGCCACCAAGAAACATGACAAAAGACAACCCTCTCAGACTGTCAGCATTTTCGTTTCTTTAAAGGTAGTTTATAACTTAAGACTAAGGTTCTATCAAATATTTAATTTTATTTTTAATTTAATTTTATTGTAAGGGTGATGCCGGAGGGTTACAATTGCATAAGTAAGGTAGTGAATACATTTCTTGTCGAACATTGTTACCCTCTCCCTTGTTTTCTCCCACTTTCCTTTCCCCCGACTCTGTATTTTAAATATTTTCCACTACATTTTAAAAACTCAAACAATAACTTGAGATTAAGGAACAGCACTGTAAATATGATCACAGAAGTACCAAAGGCTAAAGAAAAAAATATTAAATGAAGCCAAGAGCTCCATTTTCACTTTGTCACTACTAAATGGGAAGAACAACAAATGTGTTATTTTAGCACTCTCATTTCTGAAAAATACAAATGCAGTGACTAGAAATGATTAACTCTTTCAGTCACTCCCACAGAAATATTTTTCAGGTACCACGGCTGAATGCTATGCAAAGCTGTAAGACTAATAGCAAAGAAGACAGACGCCCGCATGGGTTCTGGTGGAGCCGTTAATCAACATATAACACTCATACTTCAAAACCAACTTAATCTCATGCTGATTAATAAACATGTAACTTAACAGTTCATTCAACTCACAAAAATTTACTAATCATCACCCAAGTCTGACTTTTATTCCCTACTTTGGCAGAATCTAACAGAATGTCAAAAGTGTCATCTCAAAGGCGGGTTAAGGCAGTGGTCGTGAAATCTTTGTCAGTGAAAAATAATTAAGTTCAGAGGAGGCTGATAAACGATTAAGGTATAATTAATGATTCAAACGAATTCACAGTTATATATTATGTGTATGACAGTTGCTTTAATTCTGGGTCAGAATTAAATGACCACCCCAAAAGGAAAGGGATTAGAAACTATCTTAATCAGAATGTTTCCTCACAGGTTCTCATAGTTGTAGGATTTGGGGAGAATCTCACTTTGTTGTGTGCCACTTTACCAGTGATGTTTAGTCTTATTTAGATAAGAAAGAGATCCAAGTGAAGAGTAAACAAAAGTAGATTGGGTGTGGTTGATGCACAGGGTCCATGTCCAGTTTTTAGTAAAGGCTTCTTGTTATTGAGCAATTAAAGTGCTCTCATCTATGAAATGAGTCCATTGGGTCTTTGTGGCCTTTAAGTTTTCTGATCTTATGAATCAGCACTTCTTTACTTTGCCTTTGCTGTTTATGCTCAGGCTTTTCTAGAGCAGCGAATGTGAGAACTGCCAGGTGAACATGTGAACATGTGTTAAGTGGCAGACTGGCTGGTTTCTACGTTCAGTGCCACAGTTGAGTTAGTAAACATGGCAGCTTAGCATTTACCCTTTTCTGCTCCCTTCAAAGATGCTCACTTGGTAAAATCAACAGAACCATAGAAAGAGATCCTTGATTAGTCAGAGATAGTGAATGTAATTTTATACTGAGTAAGTAAAAAAAAGGCTGGTCTGATCAAATGCATTTCTATGAGGATTTTCTGAGGGGATGGAATGATGACATACGATTTATAGTAAGATACAAGTTACATATTTTGCTAACAAACCACTTCTCCAATTATTTGTAAGTTGACACAGATTAACAACACCAAAAGTTTTATAAGTTCAGAGTACAACAAACCAGAATATTAAATGGAAAATGGAGCAGGTAGTCTGGCCAGCTGTATGTTAGCAACACTATAATTACCAAAGCCACATATGGATTACACATGAGGCCAACTAGAAAACTTACTTTAGCAACTGACTTCAGAAAGAATCACAATGGAAACACCAATTTGATGGAGTCTTTCAGACTGAGAAGCCAGGAAGAGGTGGAAGAGCCAGAGCAATTCAGAAAATGTTAAGGTTTCTAGTACTCCAGGTTTATATAACTGTTATTTTAATCTATGTTTCAACTTACAGATAATTGGAAAACTGGTCAATCTTGGTTTATTCTGTAATTAATACCTGGGGAAATAAAGTGTATATTTTGTACTATCCAAGTTTACAATGACTACTCCTTAGATTCTGAGTTACACAACAACAACCCCCCAAACCTGAAAAACAGCCACATTTTGCAATGAATTCCTAACACTGCAATAAATTCTAGAAAATGTGTTCTTTGCTTAAAATTATTGGGAAGAACTTTAACTCCGTGCCACCAACAGTTCCCAATTTTGACAATGAGGTTCCAATAGTTTTCGTTTACTGCTCTACAGAAATCAATTTCTAAAGCTTTCCACTTAAACTAATCATACAATGCCTTCCTCTTGAGTTGAACATAATGCTTGAATTTGGAAGGGATCTGCCAAACTTGTTGGATTTTGAGAATCAAGAGTTAAAATGGATAGTTCACTGAACTGCAGAAAAATCTGTGCTGATTAGCAAGCTCAAAGCATGTCCCCTGTGAAGATTTAGAATGAAAAACTAATAAGTGGAGTCAGACCAGCTGTATGTCAGCTCCCTGCTGCTCCACTAAAACCATGTAAAATAATTAACGTTTTGATGATCACATTTCCTCATAGACAATTAAGAGTTATGACACCCTCAGATGGAGTGTAAGCAGGCTTTCCCTCTTTTGGCTAATGAAGTGACTGGAGGGAAAAAAGAGAATATACTTTGCCCAAGTCTCAAGGGAGACTGCATCCAACCTATGTCCTGGGTTGAGACCAGGATGGTGACTTACACTTCCCTTTGATTGAAATTTTAAAAATCATGCATCTTATAAATCAAATTTCACCTCCTCTATATTCGGTGTTGCTTCTCCAGTCACTGAGGTCTATTTCAGCTGTGCCTGCAATGACCAGTTCCAGTTCTCTTGCATCAAAAACAGATACCAGCCTGGCGTCCACCACCTGTGGGGGGGGGAAAAAAAAAAAAGAGTTCAGGCTCCTGAGCCTGAGACGCATCAGCTTTCATTAAGTCTTATCAGGAAAAGAGGGCACAGGGGATTGTGGGAATAATATGTGTACCTCCTATAAGAAAATTGTACATCCTTTCTGCAAATATAAATGCCTCCTCCTCCCCACCAACTCCCATCGTTGGTAGAAGGTTGATACGATTTGCCTCAGTTCTATTTATTGCCATATCAAATTAAACATGCCCAATCTCATTTAGTCTTAAATGCTAAGCAGGGTTGGGTCTGGTTAGTGGTAGGATGGGAGGATTTTAATTTCATAATTGACCATAATTGGCTGATAAATCCAGTTTGTGGTTTCTCTTTTGAAAAAGATCCAGTGCTCTTACTGAAAGAGTCACAGGTAATACTCATAACAACTCATTGTGATCCACACAAACAGCTGTTTCACTAATCAAGCATGAGATTTGATTATCCATATCAAAGCATGAATAAGATTAATGACCTAAATGTTACTAGTAGGGATTCAAACACTAAATGCTAGTTGAAATCAGGTTGTAATATTATTTTCAGTAATCTCTTATAACAAGCATACTAAGCCTTTTAGTGTGTGCTTCTAAGATATGTAGGGAAAACCCTGGCCTTTTCCAACAAAGAGAACGACAGTAAAAACAGAGAAAGTAACAGTAAAAAGAGAAAGGAGATGGGAACATTCTATATGGGGAAGGCACAGCAGGATAAAGTTCACTGCTCTCCAAGTGCAAGCCTGTAGGACGGCTATTGGTGTTTACCTCATAGAAGCCTCGCACTAAGCTCTCTGTTTGCTGGACCACACCTCTCTCAATCCTCCACTTCACCATCCTCTCAATGTACTCCTTCTTGTTCTTCTCTGTCACTGGGATATTGGCACCCCCTGGCTTCAATTCTCGTTCAGTAATCTGGGATTAAAAACAAAAGAACTAACAAGAAAGCATACTTGATGGTACATATACTTGATGGTACACACTGCTGTCAATGAATAGAACTCAACTGGCTTCTGGGCCCCCCACAAATAAGTGTCCCTTTTGCACACTTTTGCTAGGTAGTGAGCTGGTGTTTGAAAGCATCAGTGGTAGAGAAAATATGACTAACAAAATATGCTTTTTTAAAAAAATGTAGGTGAACTGGCATCAGTTATTGGCCCTTTGCTATTTGAATGTTTGACAACCCATTTTTGCCAATTTCTCTTAAATTTAGAATTATCAGAAGCTATAGAGTCAGTAGAAAAGATTATTTCAGGAAACAGAATTGGCACCCAAGTACATCTTATACCTATTTTTCAAAACATATGAAATTCAGAAAACCCACCAAATACTAATATCTACTAAGAATGAAGACCTGATTTCTGAAGGAAAAAAGTTAAATTACCTTCCACCACCTTTAAAATAAAACCAAGATTTATTTTTTTATTTTTATTTTTTGGTCATGGGGTTTGAACTGTCTGGGCCTTGGCACTGTCTCTCAGCTCCTCAGCTCAAGGTTAGTGCTATATTACTTGAGCCACAGCGCCACTTCTGGTTTTCTGAGTGGTTTATTGGAGATAAGAGTCTCTCAACTTTCCTGCTGAAAGTTTGAACCTCAATCCTCAGATCTCAGCCTCCTTAATAGCTAGGATTACAGGGGTGAGCCACTGGTGCCCGGCTCAAAATGCTTTTTAAGCCTTCTCCAAAATACTGCTTACATTGTCTCAGTTTCTTAAATACATAGGACAATTAAATGATTTAATATTGAGCTCTAGAACAACATAAACTATTAAAACATAGTCTCTTTAAGATACATTTTCATATCTCTGGTGGTATTTCATTTTATTTATTTACTTGTTTCTTTATTCCATTATTTACTGAATTATTGGTTATACTGAGATTTGAACTCAGGGCCTTGTACTTGCTCAGCTGGAACTCTACCACTTGAGCCACACTTCATCTCTGTTTTCTGCTGGTTATCTTTGAGATAAAATCTTGGAACTTTTCTGCCAACACTAGCCATGATCCTCCATTCTCTGTTTTTCCCAGCAGCAAGGATTACAACCTGCCAGCTCTCAGACCTTTCATGGATAATTTAGTTGACAACATAAGATCGTTTTATGATAAACAAATGAAAATATCTTAATCTGTAGTCGGCAAAGGGAAAAAGAAATCTTTGTAACTATCATTACTGTAATTCTGGGTTTAAAGCACCCAATGAGCCACAAATAAACAAACATCTGATCTTAGTCATGGAATTAACGTCTCACCAACCAATAGCCTCCAGCTGCCATACTCAGAAATCAGGTGTTGCCCTACACCGACCTGCCCAAACACTTCTTCATTCACAGTGAACGTGAGGTCAAGGATGTCATGGATATCGTTGTCTTTCATCCACTGAAGGCTCTGGTGGAACTCTTCATCAAGGTATTCCAGATCACTCAGGTCACACAGACTGAAACAACAAACAGGAACAAACACATATCAAATCCCAGGGTTACTGGGCAGAACAACGTCAAAGAATGAGGCAGTGATTTCTGGAATGCTCTTAGACTCAGAAACCAAGCCAGTGAAAAAACTCAGAAATTATACATTTTTAAACTTGGGATACATTAAATGCCACAGGAAGAAGAGTTCTGGATGTGTAAGATGTACCTAGTCCTGCAACGCTGGTACCACATCTGAACTAAGGTGACAACTTGGATCCAGTATTCTTTTTGGCTATAGTATAGTGTTTTAAAATACTGCTCTCCTAATTTGAATTTTTAAAATATATTTCTATTCTTTAATTTTGTAGGGTTTTTTGTCCTTTTTTAAAGACGAGATTCATTCTATAACTCATATTCAATACAGCCCCTTTTTCTTCATAGTTCTTATTCTGTGGCTCTGAAAACAGCAAGTGAAAGAATCTCTCTAAAATTATGATTTTCTCTATTTCTCCTCCTTTTTCTTTTCATTGCAGAGACAGGATCTGCATGAGATGAAAGTGATTATTTAAGCCCTGTTGTAAGGTGGCAATAATTGGTTTGTTAGAGTTGTTTTGAAATCCCCTCCCTCAGCTCAATTTCAAGGGTCATTTTCTTTTTTAATTCAAAACATTAATTAGGCATCAAATAATGGACCTGATATCTTAAGAGCTATTTGATAAACTTGATGTTGCTGCTTTCAGTAGATAAAAGGCTCATTTAAGAGCTACACATAAGTAGATAAGTCAACATGAGATGATCATAAGGAAGATGGTACTTAAAATTGATGCCTTTAAAAATGTATGCTAATATTCAATTAAAAAAAAGATGAGGAAGGCAGAGGGGAACGCTCAGAGAGGACATGAGCGACAGTTGCTTTGATTTGGAAATTCAGGAAAAACCTTTTACAGCAGATGATAAGTAATGATGATTAAACGTTAGAGATAAAAGGGAAGGAAGTGAAAGGAAAAAGAAAAGAAAGGAGGAGGAGAAATGAGCAAAACCCAACAGTATGAAACACAACATAATTTTCAGAAAACAAGACACAGAAGGTAGCTACATGTCTTCAGTGCCATGCTGAGGAGCTTGGTGACTTGGAAGTCACAATGAATGTAGAAAATTATTTGAATGAGATGGAGACGAAATAAGAGACCACTTTAGTAATCTGGCTAAAATAAGGATTCTAATAAAGGTAGGGCTATCAAGAGTGGAGATAAATACATTTGTTCTTAAAAACAAATGTATTCATACCTTACTTATGTAATTGTAACCAGCCCAATCATCACCTTTTCTTTTTCTTTTTTTAAAATTTCATTGTCAAGGTGATGTACAGAGCGGTTATAGTTACTTAAGTAAGGTAGTGAGTACATTTCTTGTTGAACTTGTTACCCCCTTCCTCATTTTTCTCCCACTTTACCACCCCCTCAATCTAACCCCCCTCCCCCCAGTTGTACCGATCATTTCCAACATATTATATTGTAAGTATCACTGCTGCATTGGTTCCCCCTTTATCCTTTGTCTCACCATTTTGTTGTTTCCCTTTCCTTCCCTAATTCAGATAAACATATATACAATATCCAGGGTACCAAAATCAAATACAGTGACAACAGGGGATAAATCAGAGGGGGAAAATACAAAAGAAACAAGAAATGACACAGTATATCAAAACAACAACAACAAAGAAAAATCTCTTGTGTCCCTGTCGTGGAGTTCATTTCTCTTAGCATCATCTTGTATAGTCATGTGAACATGGCTATTGAGCTATTCTGCTCATCTGCTAGGATTATCCTAGACATATACTAATTATTACAAATGAGGGAAACCATGGGAACTATGTTTCTTCAGGTCTGGTTTACTTCACTTAATGTGATTTTTTTCCAAGTCTTTCCATTTCCTTACAAATGGGTCAGCGTCAATCTTTCTCATGGAAGCATAGAATTCCAGTGTGTGTGTGTCTATACCACATTTTCTTGATCCATTCATCTACTGAGGGGCATCTGGGTTGGTTCCAAATCTTAGCTATAGTAAATAATGCTGTGATAAACATAGTTGTACTGGTAGCTTTAATATGGCCTTGTTTGGGTAAATGCCCAGAAGTGGGATTGCTGGGCACAGGGGAGCTCTATATTTAGTCTTTTGAGAAACCTCCATACTGCTTTCCAGAGTGGTTGAACAAGTTTACACTCCCACCAACAGTGCAGTAGCATTCCCTTTTGGCCACATCCCCTTCAGCATCTGTTGTTGTTATTAGATTTCTTGATTATAGTCATTCTAACTGGTGTGAGGTGGAATCTCTATGTTGTTTTGATTTGCATTTCTTTTATGGCCAGAGAAGTTGAGCATTTCTTCATGTATCTTTGGCCATTCTTATTTCCTCCTCTGAGAAGTCTCTCTTTAAATCTTTAGCCCACTTATTAATGGGGAAGTTGTTTCTTTGGGGATTTGGTTTTAGGGGATTTAATTTTTTGAGTTCTAAGCATATTTTAGATATGAGACCCTTGCCTGTTTGGCTAGTGAAGATCTTCTCCCAATCTGTGGGCTTTCTACTGCATATCACCTTTTCAATAAAAAGAAAAAGAAAAGGGAGTGGAGATAAGATAAATCAAAGAATTATTTAGGAGGCAATAATTAGCAAATAATAAATAATTTTATTGGGAAGGGGTTAAGAAAGGATATCTAAAATAGGCAGATAATGTCATAATTCTGACAGTCTTAAATCATGATTCAGTGCTTTTTTTTTGTGAGTTTGAACTCAGGCCGTACAGAGAGCTGCAACAAACCATGTGCTAATTTCAATCTTTTATCATGATAACAGGAAAAGTCAAGTATTTTGAGATAAAAGCTTCATCTGTCATCATAAATTATCGCATTGCATATAGGGAGATCTCAAAAACAGGATGGCATTGTCTACCACTCACAAACACTACCCAAGCAGAGTCAAAACAAAGGAGAATGAAAATTTGACCAAGTATGTGAAGGTTTGTACAAAGCAAAATATAAAACGCATTTCATAAAGAACAGGAGGCCATGAGTCACCGAGACTAATCCACAAGTATTCTACTGGTAATCTGCACTAATGCCACAAGAATTCCAGTGCTGTATTTGAAGCACAATTGTTTTAAAGACACAGCCATTGCAATAAATGAAAATAAATTAAAGTGAAACAAAGATTTTGGTGACTGGACAGGAATAAAGGCCCAAGGCAAAAAAACTACATTAACCATGTCTGAAATTGTATTTGCTTCTGAAACTTAAGCCATTATTTAGTTTATTAACTACAGATTTGAAATAGTGAACAGATAAACAGTGATTTTGATAGAAGACGCTCTTCATACAGTAAATACTCATGTTCACATGCTAATTACATAAGCATAAAACTTTGCTTACATTCTCAGAAGTGCCTTGTAAAAGGGCCTTGTGAAGAAGGCATCCAACAAATACTGGTGTATTAGTGCAAGGCCAAGGATCCTCCCGCTGAACCGGAACCTATGAAAGAAAATATGGGATAGCTTACAGGTCACAGAGCTGTTTCTAAGTGGTTTTACTTGCTTCCCAGAATCTGTTACAATTCTGATCCACTAAGTTTGTTCAAAATGAATTGCCTCCAAAGTCCAAGAGAACTTACAGACACTGTAGATTGTCTTCATTAGCCATTAATTTATAGCTACTTGTTGAAGAAATCTGTTTCACTGACATTTACAGATGCCACCTTTACCTTTAGTTAATAATATCACCATGTAGCACCCCATAATTTACAACCTGAATCCCTAGTTGGCATTTTACTGGACTTCCCCAGTATCACTTCCAAGAGATATTGACAGACATGAGACCAGAGAAAGTAAATTGTTACACCTTTCTAGTATGTGCACATGAATATTAGCTGGATTTCTCTAATATGAACACAATAGCAGTTCTCTAGAGGAAAAGCCCAACTTCAGATTGAGAAAGTTCCTATCAATGTTCTTTCAAACCTGACCACTGATGATAGCTATCATGATTCAAGAATTACTCCTATGGACATTTGGGGGACTTTTCTCAAGGGGCATTCTGTTCTCCAAAATTTCAAAACTCAAGAATATTCTGAATCAACTTGGAAATTTTCTTACATACATCTCTTTTGACTAGAAGCTAGGCTATAGCTTCATGGGGAGATGGAACACTTATTTGCCTATCTTATGTAAGGCCCTGGATTCTACCCAAGGACAGCAAGAAAACTAAATATAAAAAAGGAAAAGGCAAACAAAAGCAAAAATCCTTTCTTGTCTAACACAAGTAGTATTAGGACTGAACTGGTGGCCTAAGGTGTATACTTGTTTCCTTTGAATTACAAGTGTACAAGTTTGTAGCTCTTTGAAAGTCTACACCTTCTGAAAGTAAATCTATCCTGGGATTCAAAATATTTGTAATTCTAGTTTCATGCAGTCTTAAGGAAATTATTGGCCAGCACTTTGTTTCTCTTTATATCTACTTGTGTCAGCACAACTGTAATAAACAGGCTTAGAGGACTCTAACTTGTAACTAGAGGGAAGTGAATTTGAAGAGTAAGTATTAATAGTTAATGCCCTGCACACATCAACAGTGACCTCCTGACTCAAAGAAGCTTTCTCCCTTAGTCCTACTCATGTTCTTCCTTTGTTACTGTTAGTCAAATTGAACAGGAAAAAGTGAATGGGGATTATGTAAATATTTGAAGTCTACAAAAACAGGGCCTTAACAAAAGATGTCAGGACATTAGGAAAGGGTGAAGATTTAGTACCCCCAGAGGGAATCCTGAATTGGTTTTCCTTGATTCTGGATACGAAATTAGGAAAGAAGTAACAGCTGGCTATAAATCTTGAATGTGGGAGCGTAAGCACTGCTTGTGGCCTTTCCCCACCCTTTACCATCACTTCCTCCAGGTACTACCACCCGACACTGGCCACCAAAATCCCACCTTTGCACTAGCCAGAACTCCAGCTGCTTCTCCTATCCCTCAGTGTCAATCACGACCAAGGTGCTATTAGAGAAACTGCCTGATTCCTAGGAGAGGGGCTTAGAGGTCACTCTGGGAGCCTAACATTGTCTACAACTTTTTTCCCAAAAGGACAAAAGGTTTGGAATTCTACATAACTTGCTTATGCAATATAACCTATACCTAAGCTTGGCAAGGATCTGTATATTTAATATCTTGATAAGAAAAATAAGAATCAAAGGAGATATAGAACTGATAATACAACTTTGTTCAAGAAAAAAAAGATATGTGGGTTCCCACTTAAAAATTAATATTGCAGAAACTGTTAAGGAAAAACATACTTACCATTCATGGTGATTGTCTACAAAGGCAGACATAGGACTTATTTGTACTGTGTATGTGTCATTGGCTGAATATTCAAATAAGCCATAATAAGGGTTAAAGAGTTCTCTGGATACCAAGAAGAAAAACTCTCTGGAAGGCCCACTGTAATCCAGCCTGTAAAAAAAAATCCACCATAAAGAATCATCAGCTTTTATGTGGTTATTAGATATTGGGCCTATGTTTTCTAAACTTAACTTTCTATAAAATTCTCATTACATATCAAGCCTATCCAAAATAAACTGAACAAACTCCTGGTTTCACAATTTCCTCACCCAAAATAATGAAATAGATATTTATATGGGAAATAGCCAAAACTAAGCTCCACATGAAATAATGTATAATGGAGGAAATATATTAATAGTATAATAATATGTACTCAAACACATACAGACACAAATCTTTTAATTGTTGGAAGCAAGCTATGGAGAAAAGGAGCCAGCAAGAAAACTATTTATTTAGGATAAAGCTAGATGGAGTCAGTTGCATGGCTGTTTAGGACAGGGATTCCTCACAATATTTCTGGAACATTTTTGAAGGAGGGAAGAGAGATGTATATGGGAGAGGGCAAGAGTGAGAGCGAGCAAGAGAGAGAGAGAGAGAGTCAGTCTCAGAGACAGAGAGAAAGGCAAGGATATTACAGATAGGAGCCCCCCTAGGGAGATCACAGACCAAAAAGAATGGAATGATAGGGTAAAAATTATAAAAAGAAAATAACTGACAATAAAAGTAAGAATGCATAAATATTTCTAAGAAAAGTATGTGGATAACACCTTCTTTAAAGGTATGAAACTCTTTAAACAAATTTCACTGTATTTAGACATCATGCTCAAAGTAGAAGAAAAAAAGATGGTGCTAAGTTTGAAGTGGCCAATAATGCTAAGAACACCTAAACCATTGCAGCAAAGAGAGTTTGCCATCAAGCAATTCAAATGTTAAATATAAAAAACTATAGAGGACATCTACCCTGCACACATGCACACAGATGCAAAGATAAGGAAGACAGAGGCAGCATATAAAAGCAGTGGTAGATGGGGGTGGGGTGGCAGGATTAAGGAAATATTTATTCTGTGAGCCTTACTTCATTTTTTTAATGAATGAGAAATCATCTGAGTCTTGTCTAGTGATGAGATCAAGTAATATAGAAAAAGATTTCATCCTAGTTAGAAAAGAGAGTTGACATACCAGACAACAAAATAAAGATGGCTTTTATGTGTTTGCCATGAGAGTCTCATAGGTCAGACTTCAACATATAGTCCATTACTTTCTCAATTGCTCCTCTAAATATGTGTCCTATTATTTACTTAATATTTTAAAAATATTTACTTAATACCTTTTTACTAAATAACTTTCTTTTTTTGATGTAACTATCATATTTGGATTTACTTGGTCTATCTTTTTTAATAGCCATGAAAAGAGGTGCATAAATGTTCAAGTAAAAAAGGTCAATCTGCGTAGTAAAATTATTTCACACATCACCAGTGGAGTCACTGAGCTCACACCCACACAGCACTGACAGGAAACCTAGCAGCTGACAGGTAAATCTAGCAGCTGCTCAGGGCTGCTCTCGTCTTAAGATGATATGGTGGAGTTGCTCTCTGGGGGCAGCTGAATATATTGGGCTAACAGGTGGGCCACAGGATAAGGTGGAGGGGATGGTCCTCAGCTTGTGTGGGGCCTCCCCGAGCAGGACTCTGGCCCTCCCTGGAACAAGAGCATCCATCTCACACAGCCTCCTGGGGCCTCCTCCCACTGCCCTATTTTTGGCTTCTTATGCCACCAAGAACAAGTGTAATACTTATTCAACTTCAACGTTCTTTATATGTTCAGTCTTTTCCACTTCCTTCTTTCCTTCCTTCCCCCTTCCATCCCTTCCTGCCTTCTCTCTCTCTCTCTCCCTTTTATCTTTTTGTCAGTCATGGGGCCTCAACTCTGGGCCTGGGCATGTCCCTCAGCTCTTCAGCTTAAGGCTAGTGCTCTACCACTTGAGCCACAGCACCACTTCCGGCTTTTTCTGCTTATGTGGTGCTGAGGAATTGAACCCAGGGCCTCATGAGCATGCAAGGCAAGCACTCTACCACTGAGCCACCTTCCCAGCCCCTTTCTTTCTTTCTTTCTTTCTTTCTTTCTTTCTTTCTTTCTTTCTTTCTTTCTTTCTTTCTTTCTTTCTTTCTCCCTCTCTCTTTCTCTCTTTCTTTCTTCCTTTCTCTTTCTTCCTCTCTCTTTCTTTCCCTCCCTCCCTTCCTTCCTTCCTTCCTTCCTTTTCTTTCTTCCTTTTTCTTTCTTTCTCCTACCTTACCTCCCTCCTTCATTCCTTTCTTCCTTCCTGCCTGCCTTTTTTCTTCCTTTCTTTTTAAGTGTGCATGTGTGTGTGTGTGTGTGTGTGCATGTGTGTGTGTACATGTGTGCGCACGTGCATGCATGCATGCATGCACCAATAATGGTCTTGGTACTAATCTTGATCTTAAAGAGAGAATTTTTAAAAATCTCTTTCTATAGGATCTCTAGGTTTAGCTGTTTCAGCTTCTTCCCCTACTCCTGTTTCCCTCCTTAAATATTCTTAGAAAGTGGCGGCAGGGATTCCCTGGACACTGGAGCATGTAAGGCTGTTTCTTGGGATGATAGGAGGAAGCTTAAACACTTGCCTCCCTCCATGAATGCAGGTTAAAATTACGTTCTTATGCTGGGTGCCAGTGGCTCATTTCTGTAATCCTAGCTATTCAGGAGACTGAAATCTGAGGATTGTGGTTTGAAGCCAGCCCAAGTAAGAAAATCTGTGAGACTCTTATCTCCAATTAACTACCAAAAAGCTGGAAGTGGAATTGTGGCTCAAGTGGTAGAGCACTAGTCTTGAGCAAAAAACAAGGCTCAGGGATAGTGCCTAGGCCCTGAGTTCAAGCCCCCAGAACTAGCACACACGCGCACACACACACACACACACACACACACACACACACACACACACACACACACACAAATTATCCGCTTACATCATAAGGTAGACTGGGTAATATGTGATGAGATTATCTAATTCTAAATACCAAGAAAATAATTACCGAGCTTTCTGGGGCAACCACTTTGCTTTGTTGACTCATAATGACTACTCATCGGCAAAGGCCCAAGCCTTTCATCTCCATTGTTTTAATCCAGCACTCGCTGGACTTTATCTTTTTCCTTACTAATTTTACCTTGTTAACACTCAGTTCCCTGTGCCCACTCAAGAGGAGAGAATGTCAGTGGTCAAAGGCATTATAGAAGTAAATTTGTCCAATCCTCTCATTTTACAGAGAAAAAGGTAAGAAGCCAGATCAGTGATTTGCCTCAAAGGAAAGCTGCAGTAGAGGAGCCAGGCCTTGAGACAGGTGTCCCTATCTCAAGTTTAATGGTTAATACTCCATCTAGCTCAGGCTAGATGGAGTCAGTTAATTAATGTCAGCTGTTTGTCGAGATGAACACAATATTTCTTATAGAACTATATGGCCTGTGGGCCAAATCTGACCCACCCCCTGCTTTTGTGAACAAGGCTTTATTGAAACACAGCTGTGACCATTTGTTTATATGCTCTCTGGCTGCCTTCCTGCTACAATGGCAGAGCTGGGTAAGTACTACACAAAATGTTCAGTAGGCAAAGCCTAAAAATACTTTTTGTCCGATCCTTTATAGAAAAACTTTGCCAACTGCTGTTACAAAAAGAAGAAAGTAGGAGAAAAATGCCAGTCTATTAAAATATCTAGCTTACTATAAATCTTTTCTTAGTAGAGATCTTTCAAGGAAACATCAATGGCTAGAATATCCTGGTGTGTATATAACCTCAAAGAAAGGCCATAATGACTAGGTGTGATATGCACAAGAACATCAGTGTGCTGTGGTCCAGCCTCTACTGATGCCTCCATTTATAACTAAGCCACATGAGGGTCACAGACAATTTAACCAGGTGGCAAATAAGAAATGAGTCCAGCCAGGCTCCTGCCTATGATCCTAGATACTCAGGAGGCTGAGATCTGAGGATTGTGGATGAAAGCCAGCCTGGGCAGAAAAGTCTAAGAGATTCTCATCTCCAATTAACTACCTCTAAACTGTAAATGGAGCTGTGGCTCAAACTGGGAGAGCCACTAAGCCTTGAGCAAAAGAGCTCAGGGACAGCATCCAGGTCTTGAGTTCAAGCCCCAAACTGACCAAAAAAAAAGAGAAGAAAGAGGAGGAAGAGGAAGAGAAGGAGAAGGAGGAACAGGAGGAGGATGAGGAGGAGGAGGAGGAGGACAATGACGATGACGATGACGATAAAGAAGAAGAAGAAGAAGAAGAAACCCACCAAAAAACCAAAAAGAGTCCATTTCCTTACAGGGACAATGGGTATAAACAAAATGGGTTTTAGTGTGGCTTTCAGTTCAAAAATGCAAGTTTTCTCTGAGCTTTAACTTTTGAGTGCTTTAAAAATACTGCACTTACTAGAGTGGATTAATAATAATCTGTTTGTGATGCCCCCCCCACCTACACACACATACTAGGCTGTACCATACTGAGACAGGCACTGTACCTTACTTATTTTGGTATCCCAAGTTTGATATGCCATAGTGGCTCAAGATATACTACTAAATCAATAATTAGAATTCCTACTGGTGTCTTAGTAAAATCAACTTTATTTACATCCATCATTTGGCATCTAACAGAGTGAATGAATTGGAACACAGTTACAATGAATTGGTATATTGATTCAGTGACATAAACAGTTTATGCCAATCCCTAAAAGATGGCTCTATTTGAAAACATTGTCAGAAATCAAACCAATGAATTATGTTAAGCCATTTCACTGCGAAATATCTTCTAGCACGTTAAAATGTGTTAAAATAACAAAGACCTTATTAGTTGGTTCCTTTTTTATATATAATAATAGCTGAATGTGGCTGATGAGAAGACAAATATTCCATGAAGGAGTTAAACTGAAAAATAAAATTCATCCTCTTCCCACCCCCACCCCAAGAGAACAAAGCTCTTCTAGGAGGAAGAGTATCTAACTAGTCCGGGATTGTCTGGTCTTCTTTAAACTTTATGAATGGATTCATTCTGAATCCAAGACTTTAAACTCTGATTTGCTTAAAATCCAAAATTTAAAGCTG